AAGATACTCCTTGTCTTCGTTTTTCATTGACATCTTTTTTTGAAGCACTGCTTTTTTTTGTGGTATCATTTAGAGTCTCATCTCCTGGACCTTTGGGTTCATAAGACGTGGACTCTTTGTCAGAATTATTTGCATGATCTAATGCTATTCGTATAGATTTAACTAAATTCAGCGGGCCAATATAACTTTGTTTTGTACCTATAATTAAAAAAAAAATTTATTTTANAAGATACTCCTTGTCTTCGTTTTTCATTGACATCTTTTTTTGAAGCACTGCTTTTTTTTGTGGTATCATTTAGAGTCTCATCTCCTGGACCTTTGGGTTCATAAGACGTGGACTCTTTGTCAGAATTATTTGCATGATCTAATGCTATTCGTATAGATTTAACTAAATTCAGCGGGCCAATATAACTTTGTTTTGTACCTATAATTAAAAAAAAAATTTATTTTATTCGAAGAGTAAACACGAAGATGAATGTAATGATTTTTCTATTTAAAACGATACAGAAAACTATAAAAGGTAAAAGAAAAAAATATGATAAAATATTTTAAGTTAAAAATATCCTATCACATCTACTCACCATTTCATATTTCAATTAGCCAAATATAGCTCTTTTAATTTTAGTAAATATACCATCATTTTCACTAGATGTTTCGTTATCTATATTCTGTCTCGCTTGAGTTTTTATCTTCGGACCTGCCATGCCTAAAAGAACATATAGTTCATTGTGAAAAATATTTGTTGCAAAATATACAATAAAGACCAGATTAGATAGTGAAAAACTTCTTGTTAATATTATTTATTTTACAAACACGAGCAATTTATTTCTATTAAACGTCAATGAAACGCATCTATGAATCTTAATATCTTTATTTAATTAGCAAGGGCAGGTACACATAAAGAAACTCAAGCGACACACAAGTCTAATTTTATATAATGATATTTAATATATTATAATATATATATATATTATAATACTATTTAGTATATTAGAAAGACATAAAGAACTTTTAATGAAGAAAAGATACTGTGAACATTAACACAGTGCCTTTTCTGTATGCCTAATTAACTTTAATTATATAATTTCTAGAATGAAAATTTATTGCTTCTTACCATCCGTTTTGTATGTAATGCCATATATACTGCCAGGAGTATCATCTTCAACTTCTGCATAGGCTTGGAGTATTGCTAATTGTTTATCATTTAGTTTTGTAGGTATTGCTACTTTAATTTGTATATAATGATCACCATATCCTGTCCCATTCACTCTCTTTAAGCCTTTGCCAGTCAATCTAATTTTCGTATGAGATGAAGTACCAGGTTGAATTTGTACAGTATGATCTTCATAAACGCCTTCTATCTTTATTGTGCCACCAAGTACTGCTTGTGACAATGAGATCTGAGCATCTGTATGTATGTCTGCACCATCTCTTCGAAAGTATTTTGATTTTTCCACACGGAATGTTACAAATACTTCTTTGTTGCCCACAGACATCCGAATTGTTTGACCATCTTCAATACCAGCAGGAACTGGAACTGTTACTTTTCTACGTTGCAGCTGTTTGAAATAACGTATATGCATTATGACAAAATCCACTTAATGATTATTTTAGACTAAATAAATGGATAATGTTCACACCGTTTGGCCTTTCCCACTACATTCATTGCATGGAAACTTAATACTCATTCTAGTACCATGACAATAACGGCAAGTAGAACGCATTACAAAAGGACCCGTGGTAATTGTTTCCATTCCAGTGCCATTACAATGTGGACACCTTATTGATTTTGTTCCTAGTTCACATCGGCTTCCTGAACATTTTGGGCATGTATCTACTACATTCAATTCAATATCTTTATTTATGCCTCTGGCAGCTTGAGAAAATGTTAAATTCATAATAACCTAAACAGAAAGTTACAAAAATATTAATGCTCAATATATATATATATATATGTATACTTACTATAACTGATATTCTACATTTTTTTTAATTTAGTGTTTGTATATACCTCTTGAGCTGCACCAAAGCCAAACTTTGATCCAGTAAAATCTTCGAAGTCACTAAATGCACCACCTTGAAAATTAGCATCTCCAAATATTTTTCGAAATAATTCTTCTGGATTAATAGTTGACCTAAAATGAAAATTTTGGCCAAAGTTCTTGGCATGTTCAGCTTCTGCCTGTCCCATTCCCATTTGTTCTGATGTAGCACCCCATGTATCATATTCCTTCCTTTTAATGTCATCACTTAATACTTCATATGCTTCAGAAACCTCTTGAAACTTTTTGCTAGCATTTGGATCTCCTTTGTTTGTGTCAGGATGATATTTTTTAGCTAACTGGTAGTAAGCTTTTTTAATGTCTTTTGATGATGCATTCTTAGATATCCCCAATATCTCATAATAATTACGTTTTAAAAGACGATTTGTGGTATGTATACTTCTTTGTGTCTGAATAAAAGACTGTATCTCATCTAGAAATACATTTAAAATATCATTTGTTTCATACTTATTAAATTTTATATACTTATATATTAACATTAAAATATGATAACAAATTATTCTAAATAAATATATTATGTCATGAAATGATAAACTATCGAATATAAGTCATGGTTGAATGATTAACAATGTGTATAAAAGACTAATACTTATTTTATATTTATTTTCTTATAAATTCTGAACAACTAATTTTATTAATGATGAATTACCACTTCAACAATAAGTGTTAATTATATTAACGTGTATTAAATTAGCTAAGGGATGTTAATTTCTCTTCAGATAGTTGTAAACAAATATGACTATTTGAAATGGGAAAGCATGTAAAAAATAAGGTTAGATTTTACTTCAAAAGGTTCTCCGTTAAAGAAAGAAACTGTAAGACATTCGTGAAAATATGCATAACTATAAGTAAGAGATTGTTCTGCGATGTCGTAACTAATTTAATACGTTGATAAATTAAAAATGAAAACTAGATTATCGTAAAAATGCGTGATGTAATCTGCGTTCTTCGTGGTAAAAGTATACATTACTTTTTCCTGGTTTCTTCGTGTTCCAATTACCGACACTCAACGTAATTGTTGCAATGGATCGGTGACATGTGCTACATCTTTGTACACTGCCACACGACAATTTATTTACTGTACTACTATTGATTAAACTAATAGTTTTTGGTCGAAAAACGATTGCAAATCCTTTGCCGGTCGCCATGTTGAGTAAAGGATGCATGGCTGTATTGTCACGTGATAAGTCAACGGTGCTTTCTAGAAACTACATATATGTGTGTGTGTTCATTGTGGAAGCTATAATAAAATAGTATTTTAAAAAATTAGTTAATGAATGCAAAAGCGTATATCACATTATAGGTCAAGCTACTGATAAAAAATTCAAGAAAAAAGCTTTCTGGATAGAGTAGGTCACTGTATACATATTATAGAATGTAGATAACAACTGCAGGATTATGTAGAATCTTTATCGAATCAATCGATTTCAGTATGTAGTTTAGAAATAAACTTACTTCATTATTTTCAGCAAATATATATACACATCAATATATGCGACAAAGTATAGAAGTAAAGTTGCTTTTTTCATTATTACTTTCATACGGGTTGTCTATAAATACCGACCTAGTATTGCAAAGCAGCTTTATCATTTATTGTTATCATTTGATTAAGAGAAAGGTTCAATGCGATTTTCATGATTTTTGTATAACTTTGAAATTGTTTTATGCTTTTGTAAATATGTATTGCAGCATTTGCATTCAAAATTTATTCAAACTATTCTTTTATCTGCTCAATTTAAATTAGAACGTGTCGTAACACAATTACAGATCCACACGTGACTGTTCTCTGATTGGTTCATTTTGTATTTTACAGGACCATATCTATTTACAATAGTTCTGAAAATAAAAATGTTTATCATTTATTTTTCTTCATTAGAAAATGTATTAATCATAGAAACAAATTGTGGCAGCTAATATTCACTTCATCGTTTCGATTAAAATGAAATAAACGTTGTTGAACATAATATACAAAAAAGATTCATTACGCCTTCTCATTTATATTTAAAAGTTATTACTGATTTATTACAATTACTATTGTAAATGAATAACGTTTTAGAATATATTAACTTCTGCAATGCAATTTAAGTCTACGGAATTTAGTAGAATAAGTTTGGTGAAATGAAATCGCCATGTTTGATCAAAAGTAATTTATTTGTTTCTTTAAAAACTTAGACGTGGAATGCAACTTCTACACATGTGACAGGTATAATATGTAAAACTACATACTACTATATTCATAATTTTTTACGGTTTTTAGAAGATCAACATAGTATACTTTATTATGTATAATTATAGCATGTCTAGCATCAATAGCAATAATCCTTAAATTCCGTGCTAACTATTGTGTATATCCCCTGTACTGATTTCTTTACAAATGAGTATCTGATTTCTGTGTCGTTCTTTATCCGTATTTACTCTGACATAGAACTTATCGAATATTTACAAATATACAGAGTAATTTAATATCGCATATTTTTCAATTTGTTAATCAGCTTCGCTCAGTCACTGTTATGTTCATCTTCATATACTGCACATGACATCCACGTGCGTTCACACATACCTATGATTCTCGTAAAAACAACTCAAGAATACTATTAAATATGTTACAAGAATCGTAAAATTAAACTATTTCGCGTGTAATATTTATCCTTGCGAACCAACGAAAATGTGTCAATCATTAAAACGATAGTTAAATAAACTAAAAAATCCGAATTCCATTATGGCGTCGCTAGGTAGATGTTAAGTAGAAACATCAGCCAATTAGATCGACAAAATCAACCAAATTATACTTAACAATGTTCTCAAACATTACATTATTGTATATACTGCTCACATTTTTTAAATACGGTATTATACAATGTACAATATTCGTATAAAACTATATCTACATCGTAATGTACTTAACTCTGGTTTTTCTAATCGAAAACAAATTGGAGTAGGTTCGTTTCAATTAATATTTGTTCTTCTAAAAGAAGCGATGTATAATATTCAATAAAAATTGCTCATGTAAGCAGAATATATAAAAATCGCACCAGAAAATAAAAGATATTCGATCAAATTAATCGAATGAATTGCTGAATTGTCGCATCGCATGCATTTATATCGAGCAAAAAATTGGAAGAGATAAGATATTACGAATACATATTAAATCTCCATTACTCGTATTCGGAGAACAACGGAAGTTCTATGTACGTATGCATATTACACTGAAATAACGCAATGAATTGATTTCGAATCGCAATATTCGTATAGTAAGGTAAATTATTTTCGATTTGCTTCATGTTTCTTCTCTTTAATCGTGGCGTCGATATTTTGAAAGTGGCTTAACTTTGAAGCAATCCTTTATATGTAACGAAAACTCTAATACTGAGTCTCTTGAATTTGTGTACATAGAACGTGTTTTTCGTGCTTAAATTAAATTAATAACGTAATCTTGTACATTTTGTGTTCCGTCCACTCATTCGCGAAAAACTAATAATAATCGAGAAATTATCAAAGTGTACGATAACTGCGAAAAATCGAGGATTATTAATAATCCTCTGAATGGTATTAACGGAAATAATATTCGTGGTCACGAATTGATTATTGGTAGTTTCTTTGCGGCGAACAGAGTAAAGGCACCTTAAAATTCACTGTATTCAATGTCCAGCACCTATATTTTTTGGTTTTATAGCAATTTTCTGATTTTCCTCTAACAATCATAAAAGTCTTCTCATTTTTTTTTTATAAAAACAAATGTATTGTCTGTGTCGCGACTAATCGAAACGTTCGCACTATTTGTATTATACACACACCTGTGTCTACATTTATAAGACATTCACGTAGTGTTTTGTCACGAAATTGGAAAAAAAGTTGCGAGATAGTTGAAAACTAAGTACTTGTTATTCAGAGTAATTAGCAGATGCAAATGAAGTAAAAGTATCATACGCGAAAGATAATATAAAGTTAAATTTAAAGAATACATATAAATAAAGAAACTGCATATTGCGAACGGAATAATATAAAAATATCCATATTGAAAATGTAAAGATTTGATGAGTCTATTTTAAATAATAAGATTAGAATCGCAACAAGAAAACTGAGAAGACTTTTCATGTTGGAAACTAGTGCATACTTTGACTTCTTAAATTTGGTCCATTTTGGAAGACAACCGCTGTACGTACGTCTTCAATAAATGCTCACGCCATGCATCTGATAGAATAAAATACGTATAAATGAATTGTAATTAGTTTTCAATTATCAATCAGATCTTTATTGTTTAGTTATTATTCTGTTCAAAGGCGTATTGTTAATGAGAATTCTGCGACATTAGTGTGTCCCACGGTTGCTTTTTTTTACATCAACTGCTGTACATTCAACCTTTTTGGGCCCATTGGTTGCATAGATTGTGCATATATGCATTTTCCACATTATTCACAATATTATAATGCAAAAAATGCTGAAAATCGCCGTTATTAAACACCGATATTCGAATAAAGATTATAAAATTTTTAAATATTTGTACAATGAAAATTATTATAATTAAAAAATTTAATAAGTGCAATGAGAGAAAAATGCGATGTATTATAACAAAATATTTTACTTTCGGACATTACATTTTTGTAATTTGATACATATTAATTAGAAATCACGTAATTTAGATGAATGATTTAAATTTAGTATATTTAGATGAAACTAATGTTATACAGATGGGACATAATTTTCTTTAGTGTCAATGTATATGCACAAATCTACACGGCCAAATGCTCATACTTTACTAGTACATGCAAGTCCTCAAAGCTATTCACTTTTATTGTACTCGAGTGGAGGAAGTATTAAAAGATTGCGACGAAGTTGTTGAAACAACTTGTTCGTATCAGGGGTTGATTATTAAGTAAACTAAATATCAATAACACAAAAGATTAATATTATACATACATATATATATATGTATGTGTGTGTGTGTGTTGTGTATACACGCATATATGTCTATGCACATTTGTTTATCGATGCTCATACGTTCATCATTTTTGTCATATAAATAAAATTTGTTTAAATAGAAAAGTACTAGTACATAGTGTTTCGCCAGCAATACATTATGACAATTGGACTTTTCATGGGAGACATGAAAACACGCACATGTGACCTCGTCAATACATACCCTTCAGAACCACAATGTGTTTCTCTCACTCTTCAATCAGTACATAAGATATCGTCCTCCCCCTGTCGTCTATTAATAAAATATGAAGTTTAAATAGTTTAAATATACAGAAGATCTCCGATTATTAAAGTATTTAACGATAATGTCGGTGTTAAGAACTTTCATCTTATTAAATGGATAAGGATAAACTGCAAAATAAACCAAAACCTTCAACTCACGCAGAATGTTCAGTGAAATTATAAATAATTTACATTTACACTTTCTCTTTCCATTATGAACATACATATACATGTGTATATATACATATACATGCATAGGTATCACATAAACTTGTAGGTATACGTGTATACTGTATACATATGTATATATAGTCATATGGCATGCATACAAACATACGCGCATACATGCATACATACATTTATATATGTACATATGTATATAACTTAAACATGTTTCGCTGCAAAATGATTCTCTGAATAATGTATTAATCTATATACAATGTACAGCACTAACGTGCTAACCGTTTAATTTCTGATCACAAATTTGTACAAATTTTGTTTTGTACACATCGTATTGGTCACCTATTCTATAAATATCTACTCACTTTTTTCGCTTTCATACTCAGCAGTGTGTGCGAGACGCTCAGAGACTTTATATAGCAAAATAATTTTTGCGAGTCTGTATCAGAAAATGCTTTCAGACAATAATCATTTTCACAATTGTAATTTCTTTTTTCTTTCCCCCGTTTTCTGTTTTGTTTGTTAAGACTAAGGCGCTGTGTATAATTGCATGAAAATGATGATATAGCAAATCCTTGATTGGTAAAAGTTCTAACTGGTCTTTGGATATAACACGGCAATTACCTTTACTTTGGTAAAGTCTGATACACTTTTGTTTTTACCATACTTTGTATATTGGTGCACATCTCATATTTCTGTAAACTTGGATATATAACGCAAAACTACTACATCCAAATCAATTAGAGTCGATGCGTGCAACACCGTCGACGGGTGACTTGGACTGCACGCAGATTTCTTTCTTCTAACGAGCAGATTGTACTACGACTTAAAACAAATTTCACCTTTTCACGTTGTTGGCACGACAGTACTTGTCGTCGATGATTGAGCCACTGTTGTCACTGTTATCATACTTAATGTACTGTCAAGAGTATTCTGTTCTGCCGTTCCCGTAACATCCTTTTCGATACACGCTTTCTTCGGTTCCTTATTATGCTCCTCGGATGAACTAGACTTCCTCTTGTGATTCGAACTCGATGAATGAGAACGACTCGATCCCGAGTCGTCTTTTGACGAATGATTGCTCGACGATTTCTTTTGACCATCTCTCCCATGACTGTGATGCCTCTCTCTCCTTTTCTCAGATTTCCTTTCACTATCTTTATTATCCGTGCGATCGCTAGTTTTATTAGAAACGTTATAATCTCTAGGCAGGGTAATGATCTTCAGTGGATCCTCTTTACTACTACTTTCTCCAATTTTACTATCTGATTTACGTTGAGACGACGATGGACTCCGATGGCGGTGCTTTTTGTGTTCTCTATCGCGTCTGTCTCGATCCCTTCTATCTATGTGTCGCTGATTTCTATCTTTGTCGTCCCTATGCTTCCTCTTGGACTCGGAATGCGACGAATGAGAATCTGATGGCAATTTCGATGAGTTTTCGTCACTGCTACCATTCCTACTATTACTGCTATGCCTTTCGCTTTCTGTTGTTGGAGATGTAGATACAATTGAAGAACAAGAAGAAGAATTAGTAATCTTCACTGCGGACGATGAATTCTCCTCGGATGAATTACTGGCAGCCGCCGCACAAACTTTTTCATTCTTCGATCTTTCCTTAGCTTCGTCTTCAGCCATCTCGATTAATGCTTTTACTGCGTTCTCGGTTGCGCACTCCATTTTGGACGTAAACGCCAATGTTGTTTCTATCTCCAGTAATTGACAATATTGCTCTAATTTTGATATATCATTTTTGTACTTCTGTTCGGCGATTTCAAAACTTTCTTTATGTATCTTTTCTAATACCTCCTTTGAAGCCTCGGCGACACCGGTTCGCAAAGACTGGCAAACTTCCTCCACATCAGTCTTTGATTTGTAAATAGCAATTTCTAAAGCCTTGTCGACAACTTCCGTCGCATACGTCTGCGCTATTAACTGCCGCTGCGCCAATATGTCTTGTTCAAGAATGACAACGTTGCAATCCGAGGTTGTATCGTGCTCCGAAGGGCACAGGTCCGAGGAACTTAAACGTCTTTTACTCTCCTTAGTCAGAGAACTTGAACTACTAAATTTGCTGACAGATTTCGATTCAATAGCCGGTGAAATACTCTCCTTGCTGGATGTGGTGTTACTGCTACATCGGTTGTGGTGACGGTGATGATCTAATTTGTGACTACTGCAGTCGTATTTCTTCTTATCTCCAGAATGACTGCTACTGCCATGAGAATGGTGACTGGATTTATCGTTTGACCGGCGACGGTCTTCGTGTCTCCTTTCGGACCTCTTATCATCTCTCTTCTCACTGCTTTGTTTCTGTTCCACTGAACTACTTTTTGATGATTTGTTACTAAAAAGATGCGTGCAATTATCATTATTTTCTTCGGATTCTCTTCTTTTACTTGATACGGAAGAATGTCTTGTATGGTCTCTGTTTTTACGGTCCTCTTTACGCTTTCCATGTTGATCTGACTTCTTCAAGTTCCCTTGATATTCAGCAGCTCTTTCCTTCGCTTTCTTCTCTTCAAGCGAGTCGATAGAATGTTTCTGCTCTACTCGTTGACGATTCGTGTTCTCCTTCTGCTCGTCCGCTATACTCACAGCTTCTAAAGGTTTCTTTTCTTTTATACGATGGGTTGAATCGTTTGCAACGCGTGTGTGCCTAATGTTCGCGTTGTGCTGTGATTCTGGATAATACTGTTTTAATCTTACGTGCCAAGCTACACTTGAAACCGCTGAGACCGTTCGAAACTGATGAATAATGTTGCGCGGTAAAAAGTATATGTCATTGTCGTATAAATTTATTCTCGCATAGCGAATACCCTGTCTACGCAATTGATTTAATTTAGCGTCTTCGATCCACTGTACACACTGGGATATCGGTGGTTCATGAAGATCCAGTTGTAATTTCTCAACTAGTTCAGGAAAGTCACCAGCGTAGAATGCCACAACGTCCTTCGTAATCCTATTATACTCCGAAGGTTGTCCACCATGAACAGCTTTTAATATACCCACTGCAGCTGTCGTCATTCTATCTAATCCATGACCCACGTGATCAGCATGAGCTTTAGTGCGATCTTCAAACATATATTCACGGGCTTCACTAAGACGAGGTAAATATTGTAGATTTCGTAACTCATTAATTCCTGTTCGACGTCTTTTGTAAGGACTTTTATTTATATCTGCTGTCGGAACTAGTTGTTCTCCTGGCCTGATCCATAGGATTGGACCATCATTTGATTCTTGAGGTGTATCCATCTTCACAACAGACAGTGGACCCCAAGGCATAGTCTTAAATTAAAAGTTACACATCTTACTTGTTATATATCTTTTTTTATGAATGTTTATAGAATTTAAAGATATATAACAAATACATTTTTAAACACATATATAAGAGAAATGTGATCAAGTATTTGATACAAAATAATAAAATGTGTTTCTTGTAAAGTTGTACTCACCAGTTTTAAAAATGGGTTTTCTTCTAGCTTTTGTAGTAGATCCGGAAAATATCCACCAACTTCTTCATGGACAGTTCCTACGATACTTATTTGATGTAGGGGCCCATACCTAACAGTTCCATTACTATATGCTTTACAAACTTGATCTTTGTACTGAGCCATAGTTGTAGTTTCTATGTCACTGTTTCGTCCTAACACGCCATTTTTAACAGTTAGGGTAGGATAGTTGTCTGCCATATAATCTAACAAGTCAGGAAGATATGCAGCAGCATTGTGTACTATACCCATAACATGATGTGCATTTCCATTTTCATCTTCACCAAAAACTACCTATAAAATCAAAGTATTTTCTTATGTTTTTACCTTGTTTCAAAACAAATACAATGTTTTATATTATTAATTACTATTGTTATACATACTTTGAAATACTCTTGAGCTAATTCTTCTACTTGTTCATGTGACAATACATCAATTTCATCTTGATACATATGCACAACAGTTGCACCACCATTAGGATAGGTTTCTATATGAATAAATTTCTTGTACTTTAGGCCTTCGAGTAGTTCACTTTTAAGTGGTGGATTGTGAAGCATTTTATAATTCTTCGTTTGCAAGTTTAACCTGAGATTTTCATTTGTAGATTTTGAGAATGCATGTGACACGGGCTTAGAACTTAACGAGACCATACCACGATCTCGTTTGCACTGCACTCCAATGCTCGCCCGTTTTATTTTGCTACGTTTATAACAACGTGAACAAACTCGTCGCTCGTTATGCTCCTTGTTTCGCTTATCTCTTGATGATGAGTATGATTTTGAATGTGAACCCGAAGACGTAGAACTAATACAATTTACTACTTTATTGTGAGACTGAACAGGATCATTTTTTTCAACTATTGTGGTAGTAACACTGTTAGTAGTCCAATCCGATTTAACATCTAATTGTTCTTGAGGATCTGTCTGTTCTACTTTCACTTCAACAATCTCTGTTTTTATATCTCTATGAACAATATCAACTTCTTTATCTCTCTTTTCTTCTTCGTTCGATTGTACTTGTGTAATAGAAACTTGCTCTTCAGTTTTCTGTAACTGTCCACAAAATGAATAAGGCATCATATTCTTGTTAGCTTTAGTAGTTAAATCATCTGTATTCTCTTCATTGTACGTTGCTGTATCCATTATAACAGTTGGCGTTGCTATTGCTGATGTCATACTGCTGGGAAATATTGTATCCGGACTATTTGGACTGTCGGAAACTCTTGGAGGATAGTCTGGACTTCTAGGACTATTAATCACTTCACCACTGCTTTGAGGACTTTCTCCTAATTGAGGTGTATTAGTAGTTTCCAAATTTACATAGCCTTCTAATTTTGTGGATACTGCGTGTACCCCTCCTGATAGTGTTGTATCTTTGTTACATGCTGAATCGACCTAATAAAGATAACTTCAACATTTAGTAAATTGTGTGTTATGTATTCTCAAAAACAGTTCATACAAATAATGAATAAACATATACATACATGAATAGCATGTTGAACTGGTTCTATTTTAGATTTCAATAATTCATTATTGCAGTGATCGGGATTCCCTACAACAAACATCAAAAGATTTAGAATACAACTATAAATTACATATACCATGGAGAATACTATATAAAATACGATTTATGTTTATATTTAATGTTTAATGTCCCCATAGGTTTTCTTATATAAACAATTAAAAGAGATCCATTTACATTTAAATAAAATTCGTATGATATATCATACAATTATCAACTAATATTGTTTAAATTTTAGTTGGAATTTTATGTGTTGACGTAGGAGTTTGTTAGACAAGTTATAAACAATAATAACACAAGGATCAATATAAATAGGATGCTAAAAATAATTGTTAATGTGTGATTTACTTAATGAATTCATCATAGAAATGTACGTGTTTGTACGACACTAAATAATAATAAACGATATTACCATTTGGCTGTTCTGCATGGCATGCAACATTGTCCAACTCATTTCTTTGATTAGACATGCTGTGTGCTTCCAAGGATGGTACGCGTAATGTAGTATTGATAGCAAGTTTGTAGGTAGTACGTTCTTCCACATCACCAGAAGAGCTCATGAAATTCACGTTTCTCTGTAATCCTTTCCCTTCCGTGTTTGCATTAAACGATGACGCTGTAGAGAAAATCGTGGGCGTCCTGATCGAATGTAACTCTAGATCGTCTGAAAACTCGTTTGTCTCTTTAATAACACTTTTCCACGCTGTTCTGGACACTTTTACGTTGGTTATTTCCCTTCGTAGCGGCTCGAATACTTGCTGAATTGTATTATTTACATCACATCGCTCATTTGACACGATACTTGTACCAGTTTCGGATGCCATCTTGGTTCTGTGAGCAACATCCTGAACACAACGATACTACGCAACATTTGATTGGATATTTCTTCACCGCCTTTCGAACAGACCTTATTCTATTCGTCTGAAATTGGATAAAGAGTAGGGGTAAGACCAGTAGATATAGAGGTACCATATACATTTTTATTCATGGGAATCTTCGATCTCCAACCTTGTTTTCTCCGAAATTTTTTGATCGCAAAAGGCCATATATTATTCGGAATTCTCAAATGTTCCAAATATTGTATACACGTAAGCATTTAAGTGCAGAATGTTCAAGGCACTTTATAGTAATTGATTTAA